AGGCCTGCATGGGGGAAGTTTGGATGGGTCCTGTAGAGTGGGCTCTAGACTGCAGTCGACTGACGTGGTTTTTAGTGGGTGACCCCAATGGCACTTGCTGCATGTGTGACCCCCCAACAATTTGTTTATACTCTCTGAGCTTGACTTTGATTGACCACAAAAGGGAAGAAGCTCCTAGTAGGAAGTTCTAAACTGCAGCATTGTGCACACTGGCATGTCTCCCTCCCTCGGCTGAGAGGGAGATCCTTACTGCTACTAGACGTTAAAGCCGATGTCTGCAAATGAGCCACGACTGCAACACGGGCAAGCTTCGCTCCGAGAGGCTGTTTATGCCAGCCCACCATCTGATGCTGACATTTACAGAGGAAGGAAGAAAAACATTTGAATTATGGTTGCAACATCAAATTATATTTAGTACCTACACAAAGATAACCCTGAGGGTCACAGTTAATGCTCTCTATGAACAAGGCATGCTGCTGACACCAGGATCTCAAATGAGCGATGTCAAATGCCCATGAAATATTCTCAGGGGTGCTGTTTCCAGTAAGGTCCTGACTATTTGGTTTACTAGCCAGCAAGTGTTTGCTGATATTTTGTTGATACCTGGTCTCAAGTTTAAGGAATTATTCCTGGGTCGATCTTTCCCTTCTATTCCCCGTGGCCCACTACCTTCTCTGCTCCCTCTCACATGCAGAGAGAGGTGGACAAGGAGACAGTTAATGACTACATCTAAGCATAGGAAGGTGTCCGGAGGCAGAGGCATCTCCAAAATGTTTCTGTTCTTCTGATTTTGCTGCTCACTGCTTCGCCATGGAGACTGTGATCTCCTGAGGTTTGGGGATTGAGTTTTAAATTTTATGTTTTCATATTCTAAATTGTCTTAGCCTCAAAATATGTTAACAAAGGTACTAAATATTGTGTTATGCCTTAAAGGATGGCCTCCTGATTATACGACCAAACACACCCATTTAAAGAAGCCTCATGATTGAAAACAAGCAGTGGCAGCTGACGGCCTCTCGGTCTATTTATTGCTTCCTGAACACCACCCAAGGGCTACATTTCATTTGTCTTTATTCACTTAGTGTTTATGATACTCTAAGGTAAGATTGACATCTACACTTTATAAATGAGCATGCCTGAGCTCCGAGAAGTGAAATAACTCAGTACCTGGGACAACCGGGTAATACACAGACTGGAGCAGCTTGGCTCCACCTCAAGGCTTGACCACTCTCCCATTCATGTCATCAATGCCCTTGGGTAACTGAACTTGTGGCAGTTATTTTCACAAAGCTGGCCTGAGAAGACACTCTCTTTATCCCAGGGGTAGATTTGAGAAAGCCAGTGAAATGCCGTATGTGACTAAACACGTTCTGTGGAGACTTGGGAATTTGATCCTAGGTCTTTTGGCCATCAAACCACATACCTAACCTGATTTTGCTGCTCACTGCTTTGCCATGGAGACTGTGGTGTCCCGAGGTTTGGAGATTGAGTTTTAAATTTCATATTTTTATATTCTAAATTGTATTTTCTGTAAAGTGGAGGAACCTGGTGGAAATGACCATGGCGTTTTCATCTCTTCACCTACTCTCTTTGTCATCTCAAAGGATTTGAGATGCTGGGATTGGCACATCTAGAGTATACTCACTTGCACTACAATTGGAACATATACTCCAAGTAAGAGACTATCCATGTCCAGCTTCCTTGGCCCTCAGCTAATGGCCACTCGTTCTCACGCTCTGCCCCTTCAGCCTGCAGCCAATCAGAACCAACTTTACAAGGGAGACTGTCTCTTTGCCCACCTTCCAGATGCGGTGTGCAATAGCAAAACTGTGAACCTTAGGCAGCTTCATGAAGCTATGGGTCACCTCCAGCCCCACCCATGAGCCTGCAGAAGACAGCAGTTCTGTCCTTGTGCTTGGTTCCTGCTCAAGCCTCTGACAGAACTGCCACTTGGCTCTTTGGCCACTGACCAGCCCTCAGCACAGGTCTGTTTCTCTTCTTTGACTAGGACTGCCAGTTAGGCTCAGTCATTGGCTAGGAGTAACCGAAACATCTTCCCCTCTACCACCAACTGCTAGAGTTGATGCGTTGATGGCTTTCTGAATGTGGGAATTGGCATGTCAATCACCACTCCCTCCATGGGACTGGTATTTTGTTTTGTTTTTGTTTTTGTTTTTTAATCAACACTGTAACCATAGCCTCGGCCTGTTTCAGGGTTCAATAACTCCTATGAAATCTCAGCAATCAGTAAACATTGCTGGTAGCCCCAGGAATCAAGTAACGGGAAGTCCATAGCCAATGTGCCATTTTGCATTTTCCGTGAAAACAGCAGGTGCTGCACATCACCAGTGTGCCAGACTCTGTGCTAAGCACAAGGCATACAAAACAGTGACTCTTGAGTCATGTCCACAAATAGCAGTAGCTGCCCTCTTACCCATATGAGCACATCTTCTCCAGTTTTATTCACCTTTCCTGAGATGGTTAGGTTACCAAATGATATTTTGTTGTAAACTGCATTTGCCCATTTGAGGAAATCAACCAAGCATGCAGCTCCCCAACTTGGAAGAGTTACTTTAAGCATCTGTGGCCATTAACTGTTGAAACAGCAGGTGACTGGCGGTGGGAACGGGACATGAAAAGAGCATGGGAAAGTGAACCATGTAACCTTACAAAAGGCAAAAAATGCCATGGGGTCAGATGAAAGGGCAAGAATGTGCCCAGGAGGAAACTTGACAAGAAATATAGATTTCCAAACTTGAGGAGAAACAAGTGTCACCTGGCATGGTTAGATTTTGATCATCGTTATGGTGGGGTGAGAGAGCGCCTGCCACTAATGGAACCGATCCTGACCAAGCACTGATGATACTAGGTAAAGCATCTAACATCCACTTTGCTTACATGGCAAAAACATATGCAACACGTCACAGGCAGTTTCTGTAGTTGGTTATCCTGGGTACTGTTTGACAGGAGCTGGTCCTGCTATGGTCCCACCCGGATACTTCCCAGTGTGGTTCACTTTTGACACCTGAAGCCCTGCCTTCTACCAGTGTGGGTTTGTCTAATAATCTGTCCTTGAATTTTCTTTCTCTTGTTTATTATATATTTTATCTTTCCAGAGCCAAGGTGTCACCTTATTTTATTTATATTTCAAATTCTCTCTCAGGGGTTGGGGACGACCCTTCAAGCCTGTCTCTGCCATTAGCTGGCTCTAAAACTTTAGCTTGTCCATCCCCAAACTTCATTTTCCTCACAATTTTGGAAAAGGGGCTCCTCAAACTTTCTAACACACCTTCCACCTCCAAAATGCTACTACTTTGTATCTGAATTTATCATCTTATAGATTCCATAATTTGTGCTCATGTCTCCTTAAACAGGAACTATGTTGTACTTATCTGTGGGAGTATTTGGGGTACTGGGACCCAACTACAACCTGGTAAAACTTTGGGTAGAATATAAACATCAGATTCTAAAAGGCTCTGTAGTGGATTCCAGTGTGAAGCCAGAAGGAAACAATATTTCAGCAATATTTCTCTTCACAGGTGCTTTGGATTTTTTTCATTGCCTCTACCAGTTGGTACTACAAATAATCCAACACACACACACACACACACACACACACACACACACACACACACACACATTTATTTATTTATTTGTTTGTTTATTTATTATCTTTATAGAGGACAGAGGGCAGGAGCCCGGTGAAAGGAAAATAGTCAAGAGGGACAAGAAGAGCATTGTTTTGGGAGGACATTATAAAAGAACTATCAGCCAGACCCGAGGCAGGGGGATTACAAGTTGAAGCCCTTCCTGAGCTACATAATAAGTTCAAGGTCAACCTGGACAGCCTAGTGAGACCATGTCTCAAAATAGAAAACAAGAAAGAGAATCGGCATATTGCTCAGTGGCAGAGTGCTTGGATCAGGCCCTGGGTTCCAACATGCACACACACACACACACACACACACACAGACACACACACACACACACACACACACACACACACACACACACACACACACACACACAAGTTATTATAAGCAAAGACCAGGATACACTCTTTCCAAGCTCTGCTGGTTGAATTCAACATTGCTCAGGAGAAAGCGTAGCTGCTTCCCACTTGAACCAGTGTTTCAATTTGTTCTAAGTTTCCACCCTGGAAACTGTACTTCCAATGTCACAGGACACAGTACGAAAGCTTGCTCTGGAGTCAGTATTGCTGGGTGGAACTCTCCCTGAAACTTGGGCCACACGTACATCTGTTAGAAATTTTGCCTAGGCTCTATCGTACACATCTCCTCTTTTCTCTCCCACAATCTGCTTCTTCAGAAAGCATCTTTAGCATGGAGTTAGAATCTATACGCTAGGGCTTTTGTTTTGACTATGAACGTTTTACCTTTATTCCAAAGGAAAGGAAAAGTTTGTGACTTAAAGGAACATAGGCTTGGGGCTGAACGTGCCATGAAATGTCCGGGTCTATTTGACAACGGTCCTGAAGGATGAGTTGTGGTGGGTTAGGTTTGGGGTGAGTCAGTGCTGAGGAAGTTGTTTCTGGGTCCTGCATCTGTAAACAGACACCACACTGCTACTAGGTGATTTGTTCCCACCAGTTTCTTTTAACCCTTACAAGTTCACCATTTAAAAAAAAAAAAAAAAAAAGACTGAGAAAGTGTGGTACAATGGCCTCTTGGGTTCTGCTGTTTTCAGCTCACGTGTCATAGGCTGCTTCCATTCAGCTAACAAAGAACCACTGTCCCATTTTTCTCTTTAAGTGAGACTGAACTTTCTGAGACCTTGACAGTGTGTTCACTGGCAGGACAGAGTGCCCACTGCCCTTCTCCCAGAAGGATTAGATCAAAGGACCTAAAACCCCACCCACGTGACCATGCTCCGCCGCATTGTTGACTTTAATCTTCTACAGGCTTTTCTATCTGCAGAAAAAAAACTTATTCTCTGTGTCCTGACACTGAACATCCATTTATTATTTCTAATTTCTCTAGGATTCCTCCCTTGGGCCCTGGGCTTAACATCTTCCATCCATGAGCAAAACTCTTCCTACAGCAAGAGATACTGACTATGGGGTGAGTGAAACAACTTGATAATCAACATATTTGTATTACCAGTGTATCTGCCTTGGTATCTTGAGAAGTTAATATTTTTTCTGTAAGTTTTTTTTATGATTTCATTTATAGATTTAATAAGCCATATTTCTTTTGCTGTGTCAATTGTGTCTTTAAGAATCAAAGAGTTAATTCTCTTTGATAGCTTTGGAATAAATCTTCTCTGTCATAGACCGTAACATGAGATACAAATTGACACTCAGATATCAAAGGAGCTTTTCAAACATCTCTTATCTTAGTTGGCTGGCATCTGTTTTGTTATATGTGGAATGAACCCAGGTTCATAAAAGATTCATCCTGTGATGTGGATGTTCACGGTGGAGTGTTTATGGACATGGTGAAAATCCTGACGTGCAGCCACATCAAGACATTGGTTTTCCACTGTTTCTTGTCAGATTCCTGCAGAGTCACCATGGGAGCCAGATTGCCTGGGGCACACAGTTCAGTGACACCAATAGCTAGCACAGAGAAGTTTCCGGGTAACACAGATGCACATTGCCACAGTGAAGGTGTGCTGATGCCCTCTGCTTTTTCTACCCTTGTGGGAAGGCTCTGATCGAAACAAAAAGACCCACTTAGCCCATGACATTAAAGTGCATCAAGGCAAGAGAAAATGATGTGTATCAAACTGATCTGCTCTTCACCCTGCACTTTATGCAGGGAAGTATACCTGTGCACTGTAATGCCACTTAGATCACTACCAAAACAGTGGAGAGCATAAAATAGAAGTATTCTGACTTTGGATTGGTTAGTCTTTCCTCTTGGCTTAAAACCATCAGACTGCTTTTCTCAGCTCGTTTACATAATTTTATTTCCAGAGGGATTATAGGCAAGCATATGCAAGAGTGGATCATGGGTCAGTGAATATTGAGTGAGCATCTACTCTGTTCACATGACAGGTTCTCTTTCAGAGTTAAGGCTCGCTTATGTATACATTCTAAGGGGTGGGGCAGAATCAACAAACATGGAAGTGGTTTGTATGTTGTAGCAGTGGTAGAGTGCTTACCTAGCATGGGCTCAGTCTCTAGGACTTCCAAACCAAAATCTGGAAGGTTTGTCAGACGGTGATAAATGTATTAGAGTCAGATAAGTCCAAAAGCATGGACAAGTCACACAGTGATAAGGGACTGTTAGAACAGGGTGTTCAGAGAAACCCTCCCTGGGTGTACAGTACTGGGCAGTAAATGCACAGAACTGAGAGCAAGTAGGCCAGCTATCTCGGAGAAAGTGATTGGGGTTTGGATCTAGCAGATGTGATGAGCAGCGAGACGTTCTTGGACTATTTTGAAGATAGAAGCAGTGGGGATTTCTTCCATGTTGAAAGTGAGATGTCAGCCGGGCGGTGGTGGCGCACACCTTTAATCCCAGCACTCGGGAGGCAGAGCCAGGTGGATCTCTGTGAGTTCCAGGCCAGCCTGGGCTACCAAGTGAGTCCCAGGAAAGGCGCAAAGCTACACAGAGAAACCCTGTCTCGAAAAACAAAAAAAAAAAAAAAAAAAAAAAAAGTGAGATGTCAGTGGAAAACATGATTGGAATGATTCCTCAGTCATTGGAGTACACATCCAAGGGAAGGAATTCTCAGATACCTTAACAAAGAAGAACTCCAAACCAAGACTAGAGAGAGTAGAACTAGGAATTCTGTATTAGAGCTAGGAAGGTGGAAATGGTTACTAGGCACCCAAATGCAGAAATTGGCATTTGGCAGCTAATTGGCAGCTAAATAGTCAAGTCTGGAGTTCAGGGGGCATAATCTTTAATGGAGGCATACTGTGGAGGGTGTTGGCTCTTGGGCAGCATTCAAGCCTGAGGCTAGATGAGACCAAGGAGGCAGCAAGTCTCCAACGCCTACCTTCTCCCCTAAGAATCCTTTAATTGGAATGCAGTAGGTCTCACACATTATATCAATGTGTGAGATGTTAGGAACCTCCCAGCATGGTTGTACAACACAAATTAAGTGCATCTGCCTTAGACAGTGAATGTGGCTGGAGACAGCAGAAGTCATAAGCTAGATTCCAGGGCACCCTAAAGGGTACAGGGATGAGTGAGAACCAGACAAGAGAAAAAGCTATAGTGAGGCAGGAAGAAAATAATGAAAAAAAAAGTCCTGAAATCCAGGTACAGCCTGTTAAAGACAGTGGAGCGGTGAACTGTATCAAATGTCATGAGCAGCTCCCATCAATGGGGACTGAGAATCTGCCACTTTACTTAGCCGAGTGATGTCCGTGGTGACTTTACAACAGCAGTATTAGTGCTTTAATAAGCTGGATGGGGGTAGATTCAAGAAAGAATGGGAAGAGAGGGATTGGTGGGAACCCTGTTAAGTCAGTTCTTTTGGTGGGTTTCTCAGCAAAAGGAAACAGAAGAGAGGCTTAGCAGTTTGTGTTGGAGGTCAGGGGTCTTATTTTTCAAGGTGGGAAACATATTGGTACATGTGCATGCTCTTGGAGAGAATCTAGTACAGTAGGGGCATGAATGACAGGAAGAAGAGGAAGAATTGGCTAATGATTGTATTGAGCAGGGAAAGGGATCGTGTGTGCAATCAGGTGTCACTCTAGGTGGAAGCATGGGGAAGGGAAGGCTTGACACAAGCCATTTGTAAGCAGGTGGGTGTCAGCATAGAGGAGCTAGAAGATACTATCTTGGGGCTGCTTCCATTTTCTCTGGGAAGTAGGAAGCAGGTCTTCAGATAAAAGAGCAGATAGGAGGTAGGAAAGTAGATTCTCAGCAAAGTATGAAACCCACTGCTATAGTTTGGATGCTGAATGGTCTCTAAATCGTACTATTGGGGCACAGTGGAATCTTTCAGGGGTAGGACCTAATGAGAGGTTCTTAGGTCATTTGAGACATATGCCCTAAAGGTTGATCGTGGGACCCTGGTTTCTCCATTTCTCTCTGCTTCCTGCTTTGCGATGGACCAGTTTGCTCTGGCCCACATCCCTTCACTGCCCTCTGGTATGCTCACCAAAGGCCCAAAGTCATGAAAGCCACCAGGCACCTTGGACTGGAATCTCTAGAGCCATGAGGTAAATAACCCTTTTTTAATAAGTCAGTTCTTTGAGTTCCTTGCAGTGGCGACATGAAACTGACTAATACACGCAGAGAAGGAAAAGGAGCAATGAAATGGCCCCGGAAAGATTTGTACAGCTGAGAAGTCAGAGGTCAGAGCTTCGGGGTGCGATCAACAGCCCTGTGGATGTGTCCCAGCTACATTCAGCTGCTTTCCTGGTACTGGCGACCTGAAGAGTAAGCACTGGCAAGCGTGGCTTCATGGCTTTTCTTCCAAGTAAATAGAATGAGGGGAAGTTGAACCTGAAGCTAAAAGCAACGGCAGCCATGTCATTTTAGTGATGCGCCTTCCCACACATGCCCACTAGGGAGAGCAAGAGAGAGGATCATGCGTAGTGAGAGTTGGTCGCATTAACTGCGTGGGGGTCTGCAGAGGACCATAATGCTGAAGATGCAGTTCTAGTCTTTGCTGTGGCCTGAAACAACTGTCTATTTTGATAAAAGAGTAAGCGTGTTCATTACCAAAGGCTGATTGCACTTTGAATCTACTTAATTAAGTTTTCACCCATTAAAATTAGTTAAGCTATGCAAAAAAGACCATAGCTTTGAGCATTTGTATGCATTCTTTCACTTACAATTATGAAATGAATATATTAGTGTATAATCTAAAAACAATTAGTGATTGCTAGTCTACATCTCAGTAATTCTTCTCATCTAAAGTAATAAATTGCCAAAGACAGAATCAAGCCATCCCTCTCCTTTGCCATCCCCGTGGTTTGGGGAAATGGTGACAGACAGCATAATGCATGTCTCTGTCTATCTTGTAAATCGCTTTAATTTTCCTCAATTGCTGGAAAGGGATTCACTGCAGTTAAGGAACTTCTCAAAATCGAATTGATCAAATTGCATTACCTAAGACAGATGCCAAAGCTACAAAGTACTGGGCTTTGATACAGGTCTACCTAGTCTACCTCAGATCTTCTGCATGCGAATGGGGAGTTGACACCTGAGATCTGACCTAATGACCTTTCATTCTAACATGTTAAATTTTTGTTTGTGGGTAGGAGGGAGTGTTTTGTTTGTTTTCTCCCTCTGTGCTCGTCTTCCTTCTCTATTTTATCCTAAATTTTGACATAGTTAAACAGTGATAGGAGGCCATGAATGGGCGCTGCATACCTGCAGTGGGCCTGACAGACCAAACCAGTGTGGAGTTTAGTCATAGTGCCAGCATGGCTGGTTTTAGAAGACCTAGTAGCCAATTAACTAAGCCATAGCCAACTGCCTGGCTGATTGATTAAGCTGCAGTCAATTAATGTGTTCTCTGTGCCTCACTTCTACCTTTCTATAAATTCTGTCTGATAGCATTATTGGCTGAAGTTCTCAGAGTCTGCTGTAATTCTAGGGGCTATCGGATTCACAAAGTTTGTTTTGGTTTGGTTGTTTGCTCAGACAAATTCTCCTGAATATAATTTGTCTAAGGAACTTTTATTTTAGCAGCGTCATTAAGATTATGTTTTAGAATAAATTTCAAGGCAGTAGAAAGCATGGTTGAAAAGCCTCTGGTTTTTAGACGGGCTGAATTCCCTGGGCAAAAATGTCTGTGTTTGTATGTGATTCTCAGGTGGGAATTTGCACCTTCCATGTTCTTACAGCTCCATTTCCTCATCTGTGTGACCAGTATATGTTTCAGATTAAATTAAAAGCCTTTACTTTCCTTCCGAAAGTTCTGTGGCCAAGAGGAGCCAAATTATTTTACTTTCTGATGAGATTAGTCCCAAGCCCAAAGGAGCATCCCTTTGGCCTGGGTGTGACTATGCACCTAATCCCGGACAGATTGCACTTCACCCCTCTGCCTTGCTCTCAGGCTTGGTGACAGGCCAATGACCTGAGTACCCTAACACCGGAGCAATGTTGCTTTCTAGTTTAAACTATGGTGAAACAGAGCTACCAACAAT